TGTTCATATGTGTATTTTTGTGATATTAATATGTCATGCACAGTGTCATGCATGTGCAGCAATTCCAGAATGATTAATTACGTTCAGTCGAAACCTATTTCTCCAAAAGGCCCGAGGCAACATCAACACTTGGCCTCCACAACTCTACAAGAACCGAGTGGCGCTCAGGTCTTGTATCCGCAGCTTCCTGCTCCACGACTGCAACTTCATGGCTGAGCTTGTGACAGTCCTAGAATAAAAGAAAAGAGGAAAGAACAGAGAAGATAGAGAAGCCACTCACGCCGAGGGAGGGAGGGAGGGAGGGAGGGAGGGAGGGAGGGAGGGGGAGAGAGAGAGAGAGAGTAGTGAAAAGTGATGACATTGCCATTTTGACTCTTTTATTTCTTCAAGGAATTCACAACGACGGGACTCTACACCGCTGGAGAATATGATTCCAATGAGCTCCTTCCGCCGGTGGTGAAGCCAAATAGGGCCAAAGCGCTGGCAAAGTAGCCCAAACAAATTGTCGGTACTGACTGGAAGATGTGTGATCATGAACCATGAACCCAAGAAGACTTTTGGAAAAAGCATGGCTTTTGGATGCTTTTGGGCCAGCCAGTTGTTCTGGTGGACGCCGCTTGGGTGCCTCTGCATTGAACCCAGGCGTTGCTTGGTCCAAACGAGGGGTTGGCCTTCGGCAGTATTCTACAGACTCTTGGCAACGGCTTTGGCAGCTTCACGGGCCCGCGAACGACCAAGGGGAACAAATGACAAGCAACATGTGAGTGTGCATCACTTCACAACCATCCGTCACCACATTTCTGTTGTTTGGAAGCTGGGGCACTCTGCCCCGTACGGCGTGAGGGAATGGACCCTAAGGCCCTAAGGTTCTCGTACTGTATCTAGAGGGGGTCATTGCATGTCATTCCAGCATTCCCTGGTAAGCACCACTCAGATGTTTGCCACAGGTGCCTGAACTGGTCATGCCACTGGAACAGTGGTGCTTTCCATCCTTTTTCCGCCTCGGGCATGGCATGTTTGAAACAGCCCACCTGGCCCCCACATGTTTGAGCGAAGAAAAATGAGTTCCACTCAGAGCCCAAGGGTGGGACAAAGGGAGGACACCAAACGTTCGGAATGGTGTTTACTCCCATCCCTGGGCCGTGGATGTTTACTGCAGGGGCCCCCCCGACTTTGGACACCCCGACATGGAGCTTCTGGAGGAGGTGAGCCACCCGGAATTGGGTTGCACAAGATGCAGAACAATCCCACGTAACCTCAACCGTCGGTCCTCCCATCGCCCCGGTAGCAGACCTTGTTGGCCTCCGGGTGGTGCTGTCCGAGGACACACATGCCATTCCTCACCCATGTGACACGCTGTCCGGTTGCGCCCGTCCTGCTGCTGTGTGCAGCTCGGATCGACGTGGCTGCGGACTGCAGGTCGGGGCGCGGCGGGGGATGGTCCCGGCCCCCTTTTTTCCCTGATGTCAACAGGGTGATTTTTCCACCATATACACCTTGGCAAACATCTGATCTAGTCCAAGTGAGGTGTCGTATGGGTCCCCTCAGCGGGTCCATTGGCTCTCTCTTTCTCTATGTATAGAGGTGCCCGGCGGCCTGGTGGACACTTCGTCCTCCAGCGGCCCCAGAACGCCCTGGAGTGATTGGGGGACACCCCCATGCGTTCAGCGCGGACCGAGTCTCCTTCTTCGCACAACTCACCTTCTTCGCAGGATGCTGATTTGCGACGAGTGGTTGCAACTCTTCTTCAATGACAAGGATGAGGCGCAATGCTTGGTTGAGGACGCGATCCTCCTCCGACGATCTATGCAGGAAAGCTTGGATCAGGACGCTTGCGGGCGAGATGACCAGCACCACAGTCTGAAGAAACACATGGTGCACCGATGTATGCAGGGGCCCAGAATCTGCCCCACAAGACAAGATAAGGTAATTTAAAATGTTGATGAATGTTGAGTGATTAACACCCTTTAATTAAACATCTTGATTAATAAGCCAGTTGGATTACAAAACCTCTTTGTACGGAGGCTTTGATACATCAAGAATCTACGCTGCCCCTTTTCAGCGTCTCTGGAGCTTCAAAGCTCAGCTGGAAGGAGGTGCTGGAGCTGTTCGAGTCCCACTGTGACGCTGATGTGGAAGACAGTCTTCAGGAGCTCCTGGAGAAGGTGAGCTGCCCCGCATGCGTGGAGGGTGGAGCATGCGCGGCGCGTGCGTGGAGCTGCCTAGGGTTCGAAAACTTTGAAATGCATACGAAAGCTTTCTACGTGGATCTGCATGGTATGGCTTTGCATGGATGCGGTTCACCTGGATGTGTTAGACATGCTTCAGGGATCATTTTTGGCATAGTGCAGACCTCCAACAAACACCTTGTGGTGGCCACACTGCGCAATGGAATGCAGGCAGCCACCCCACTCCATCAGTCAAGAGCAAGCCCAACTTGATACGCCCATGCCCTCCAAACTTTGTAACATAGGACGTATCCGATTTGGAAGATCATTTCCTGAACCAGGTGGCTTCTAGTTTTGGGGGTAAAGTCACCGTATCTCTCTGATTTTTTTCCTCATCTTTGCCGTCCACTCCTTCGTCTGGCCCCGTGCATAGATCGAGGAGCTTCCATCGCGGTGGCAGCGCGCACAACTGATGAAGCCTCTGAAAGGCAATGACTTGGTCACGAGGACGGATGTGGGAGTGGAGAAGGAGGGGACGGCTGCACGGCGTGGAGAAGGAGGTTTTGGCGAATTAATGGGCGGTCGTACGACCGGGGTGGGGGCCGATCGATTCCCCTGGAGAGGCGGACGGTCAGAACGGCTGACTGTCGGACGTTCAGTTCGTATTCGACATGCTTTTTGGTATGTTGAAGGGGTGAAGACTCAGCTTCTGTTCCTTCTGCAGTTGATTTTCTTTACCGTTCAATTCTTCAACCCTTCAAGGTCCGACCAAAGCAGGAGACCCCACGTGCCTCAGGCAGGAGACCAAAGCAGTGATGAGTCGTCGATTTAACTTCATGTGCTGAGTGTAGATGTGCCAGAACTTCACTTATCACCTTGCACACGTTTCGCCCACGATTCAGATTCTGTCCCGCGTTTCCCACGAGGCCATCCGCAAAGCTTTCTCATTCATTAAACTCCGCAAATTCTGCAACAAAAATCTGAGAGACATCATGAAGCCGAGCGATGGCACAAACCCCTACATGTTTTCTAGATGGGGGTCCATATAAACATGACGCTTTTGGGGATTGTGCCATCTACTCTGAAACCACTGTATCGTAACTGTGGTAACTATTCCAATCATGATCCTGATTGGTGGGGCACGTCCTGAAAGCTCTTTTCGTTGCCGGCCACGCGCCTTTCTCACGCGCATCTCCCTTGTCAAGTTGATCAAGGACGCTGGGCTTCTGGCGCCGAAATTGGGACTTCAAGTGGCAAGTGCTCATGCCCAACGAGTACCTGGCCTTTTGTGGCTCTTCCCCACGCAGAGGAGGCGGAGGCCATGGCCGACCAGGGTGTTTGGACGTGTTCTATTTGGTTGGAGGTGTCTGGTGTTCTGATCAGATGGTCCTTTTTTCCAAAGCCCCGGGTGGTGGAAGGCTTTTCCTCGCGCCAGGCTGGCTCCAATATGGCACCATCTTGGAGAACGTGAAGCCCGAGGACTCGCACCTCGGCGAACAAGAATCAAAGACCGCTCGGCGGTCCGTCTAGACACGAAGACAACATACCGACCTGGATGGCATGGCCCCTTGGAAGAGCGCATTTCTTTATGAACAAAAGGTGAACTCTACCTCCCTGTGAGTGAGCTCTAGATCAATCTGGTGAATTCAGATCACCTGTTCGTGTGCGAATGGTTCTAAACAGTTCTTCCAGTGATGCCCAACTTCCAGAAGTCACCTCTTGCACCCTCCACCTCCACTTTGCCAGCGAGTCGTTTGCTTGGATGCACCTGGCCACCACAACAACAAACCGCTCCAAGGTTGATCTCTGACCACCTGGCCATCGCCTTCTTCTGCCCCAGCTGCAAGCGCACCTTGCGCCTCAACCGCGACGGCATCGCCCAGCACCGCGCCGACTGCGCGCCACGCGATGCCGCGGAGGACGGGGCATCACCGCTTTGGCGGTGTGAGGTCTGTCACTTCACCTTGCCAGCAGAAGCTTGGCCACTTTAACTCCACTTCATGTGAAGCTGGTGAGGGGAGGTATGTGGTGGTGCTTTCTGTGTTGGTGCTGTGGGTGGCCCCAAACAGGTGCTCAAGGTTCGGAGGCGCGGAAGAACATCGTTTGCAAAGAGGTCAAGTTCTTTCGTTGTTGTTTCAAGTAAACTCGACATGATTATACATTCTTATATATATATATAATATTTAAAGTATTATACCTTAACTTATGTTTCTGTATCTACATCACGATAACTACGTAAGATTTACAAGTACTAGGCAGCGACCCAAAGAATTGTAAGACCCAAGATGCATGGTGTTTTTGCCTGTGGAAACCTGATTCGAGGCAGGGCCTTTTCAGAGAACTTCATTTGGAGATCTCCCTCTCTCTGACTGCATGGGGGGTGTCATGGATGCAAAGGAGTCTCTATTCCATGGCCCATTAGGGCCCATCAGCGCCCATCAGGGTGTCTAGAATTGTCGCCCCCCACCACGAGACGTGCGACACCAGCAGACTTTCTCTGGATTCGCACCTGGTGCGACGGGACCGGAAACCCAGGACTGCTCTCCCATGGACATCCTCAAGCATCGGAGAAGCCACGGCCTCTAGCAAAACGTCGCCTTTGGGGGCCTGGTGGGTGGGCGCGTTGGGTGCTTTTGGTTGAGCAGTCGCTCTTTCATGTTTGAACATGAGCTGGTGGTTGGGGTGGAGCATGTGGAGCTAAGGGTGTCCATCAAGTTCTTCCCCCCTCGCTTCCCAGCGAGTAAGTAAGCTTTTGAGAGTGCTTTTGTTAAGAACCATACTTTGATTCAACTCCTCCAAGCTCACCACCCCCCACCCCATGGAACGCCGCAGGAGAGCTGCTCTTGGCCGGCGCTGGTGCTGGAGTGGCGGCTTGGCAGAACACTGTCGCACTCTTGCAGAGAGTAGAGTCTTAGACGAGAACTTCCAAAGTTGTGATCCTTGATCCTTAAGGAACAACCTTTTACATACGAAAATCGGGTCTTCCTTCTCAGCTCACAAAAGCCTGCCTGCTGCATGTACAACATCTTGTACGCATCATCTGCAAACAACTGCCTTGGTCTGCCCAACTCTAGAAAGGTAGGTTTTATGGGTGGGGTAGCATGTTTTTACTTGAGATGATTGATCCCGCTGACAAATACTGGAAGTGAGTTGAAACCAGATGTTCTTGAAAACTCTTGACATCTTTCAACCCCTCAGACCGAAGGTCGTTCACAGAAACATCATTCCGACAGGCGGACAGGCGGACAGAAACCTTCACACCCTTTTCCTGGTCCCCCTCATCTAATGCGGTGGTAAGCCTCCTTCACTTAATACTTGATTTGACACTTGCGCGCCCTCTATTCGACAGAGACGTCACGAAGACACCGAGTTCGGGAAGACACGGCGAAGACACCGCGGTCGACGTTGGTGGCTGTGCAGATCGAAATGGAACATCGCTCCAAGGAGCAGTTCCAAAGCGGATGAGTCAACAATTGTTGCTTTGGTACCCATTGCCGTGGTTTCAGAGTTGAGTAGATGGCACAGACCTCAAGATGTCCTTTCTGGTTTGTACCATCTTCTACTCTGAAACCACTATAATCAATGATGGTGGTTGGAATTTGGAATCCTATTGAAGGAATAGAAGTGCCGTCACATCCACTCACTGGATGGGGTCTCAAAACCACTGCTCCGATCTGCCACAAAAGTCACTCATTGGGTACAGAGCTTCCCCCGCCCATGAGAACCCACCCTAAAAACCCCCACGCGATGTCGAGGTTCGTATGTCGAGACGTGATGGTTCTTCAGGTCTCCGCAACGCTGGTGGTTGGTCTTCGCATCCCCATTGGTCGTGCCCAATTCCATTCCCGAGATGATCCCTGAAGATCAGCACCTGCCCCCCCGAGATCAGCAAGACCATGACCGCGCCCTTGGACCGTATTCGGATGATCTTCCAGGCCGTGGAACAGCGCAGGGTCTGGGCAGGGGGGGAGCTAAAGCGCAGCTGAAGGATGGTTTCAGAGCAGCTCTTGGGATGGCTACACCAGGTTGAAGCTGAAAATTCAACCCCACACCTCTTGTTGCGCCATGGTTTTCATGCATGTCCCCATCCCAGACATGCTGTACGTTCTGTTGGACGGTCTCTTCCACTGACATCCAGAAGTGGGCGTAGCTCAACGGCACGTTGCCGTGGGCGCGGGCGTGGCGTGGCGCGGGTCGGATCCGAAGCCTTGGATCCACCTTGGCAGGGCGTGAGGACCCGCTGAGGGGGGGAGGACCCGGATCCGGAAGACCTCGAAACCCTGGGACTGCCATAGGACTGCCGATCAGTTGAGGTGGTTTTGGCGGGTCAATGTAGGCATATATATATACATATATATGGCATAGATGGAGTGTTTGGGCATTGGTTTTCATGCTCAACTAGGACACTCCGAAAGAAAAGGCACCACTTCGCGGGGCTCGGGTCATCGGCAGGTGCACCGAAAGCGAAGCTTCACGTTGGAAGGCGGGTGTTGTTGGCGGCGCCATTGGGGTTCATTGGGCGCAAGTGATGTTGGGTTTGGTTCTTTGGTTCACGGGAACTCTGAACTCCTGCGTCCCCTTTTGACGAAGAGAAGGAGCCGAAGATTTGCTTTGCAAAGGCGCGCAAGTGAGCACTGAGCATGGGAATCTAGAATCACGATGGAAGTGGACCAGGCTGCCTCGGACTTCATGGAGGCTCTAGGCACCCCACGAAATCTCGTCTTTTCTTGCACTGAAAGCTTTCGATGTGCTTGTGACCCCTGGGCCTACAGTTGCGAATGGGACCAGACATGAGAGATAGATCGAAAAGAGGAGAACACTGAGTGATGAGGATGATGCTTCTGACGGGGCCATGCACAGCGACGACATGAACCAGCTTGGCCTTGATGAACCGCAGCCAGTTGCAAGGTTGTGGGTCCACGACATGCAGTGAAGGGGAGTAGCAAGCACCACAGTGATATAGACATACTGTAGAGGTATTTCACCACCACAAGCATTGTTTTTCAATCAAGCTGGCAAGTAGAGTAGATCTTCTTGCGGGGGCAGTGCCAAGAAAAAGCATCAAAGATCGATGAAGGTCACCAGCTTGGAACTTGGAACATCGTGGAACCGTAACCAATCATGGTGATCTTCTTGGGACGCAGAAGATTCCAGAGTGTACGGCAACCCCTTCGGAGTTTCCACCTCCGTGCGGGGAAAAACCCAGCGCTCTCTTTTCCTCCCGCTGCCGGTTGGTCCAATGGAGACTTCTGCTGGCGTGAGTACAGAGACCGGCGTGGCACCGAGCGTGGGGCTTTTGCTTTGCACCCTGCTGGTGATAGGACACCTGAGGTTAATGCAGCAGAACCTTTCCTTTGCCGTCGACCAGCTGGTGTCCTTCGTCAAGCAGGTTGTAAGCCCGGAGCCGCGACTTGACACCAATGTCGACCTTGGAGAGAGTGAGTCGACCTTGTGGGTGGTCGACAATCGACGTCCTCAAAGTAATCAGGATCCTGTGGCAAGTCATGGTAGTTTGATGCTTCAGTTTTACGAGCAACTCTCCAGCTGGTAGTTCCGTACAGACCCTTTTGAGCCACATCCTTTGGCAGTGCGCTCCATCGGACACCTTCAACACCAAAAGGAGGCAGAGCTCTTCTTCATCCTTGAGAGCCTGCCTTCTCGACCCCCCGAACAAACGGGGTCGGACCGTGGAGTGGGGCATCACGGTTGGGTGAGTGAAAGCAAGCCCAATTGATGCGATTCTTTTGAAAAGGAAGTTATACCGGGAGCTTCAGTTTGAGGTGTCCCACTGGAGGTTCACATCACCAGGCCATACTTGTGTAGGGGTACATCCGGATGTCCAGTGTTTACAGGGCTGGGGGAGGTGTGAGATGAGACCTGGATCAAAAGCACTCCGACGATTCGAAAGTGGGCGGCCACCTGTTGGTCATTAAGGGAAAATGGTCTTCCAGGGCCCGCCTACATTTATGAGATCTTCACAGCCACAAGACTGGAGCAGTGAACATTGAACATAGTTCTTTTTTTTAATAACATATCGTTTTTGTATCTTCTCCGCTCTTGTATTTCATTTTTCTGTATTCAGCATGCCAGGCAGCAGGAGCAAACCATAAATAAATGACCAAACAACGATAAATAAATAAATGGAAAACGATATGCCCGGCTGTATTCAGTATGCCAGGCAGCAGGAGCAAAAACCATAAATCAATGACAAAAACGATATACACAAACCCTAAAACACACGATCACCAAATGATTAAAAACCTTTAGAACAAGCCTCCATGTGATGGTCAGAGTCAGAGTCCTCCACTTCAGACAGCATCTTTCAGCCAGTGGAGGCTTCTGGAGGGCAACTGCCGTGGTCTTGTTCAGGGAAGGGAACGCGGCCAGCCGCAGCTCCTGAGGCTAAGCCACAAAGAGCTGCGGCACTGGACCTCGGTGGAAAAAGAGCTGGACAAGGTTCGCATTAACAATCGAAGGGTGGGCACCAGGACCGGCTCGAGCTCATGCTCCACAACGGCGGGCACATGTGTCATTGAGGCCCACCATGGCCCACCAGATCGTCTCCATCTCCATTCCGCGCCAGGATTATGATCAACGTCCTGTTCATGATGGGCTTGGAGGGCATGTTGCGGTTCTGCCAGCCACTTGGCGATTCGAAGAGACACCACCCGGACACATGCTTGGACACCTTCCAGATGAAGCTCGCCTTATTTGATCCCCCACCCCGCCAGCCTTTCGTTCGATCGCTTCTGCCCCGCCGTCCGCCGACGCGATCCATCCATCCGTGCACCGGGCACCGTCCGCCGGCTGGAGGATCGGGCGACCGAGGTCCGGGGATCCGAGCGTCGCCCTGGAGGTCCTGGTGGTGCTTGGCGTTTACATTCATGATTGGCGCATCGTATCTGGCCGAACGTGCTTGACCGCCTCCCGCGTGCGGCGGATCAACCTGACGCTCCGGCTGGGTGCTTGTGGCTCGGCGGAGGCGTTGGGAGAAAGATTGGCAGCCAATGGTGGCACTTTTGCTTGGCTCTTTTTTTTTCTTGGGTTTAGTTCGAGTTGCTATTTTTTTCTCCAAGATGGGCCTTTCGTGTAGTGTCCTAGTGGAAGCCCACAAGAACCCAACGCAAGATTGGCTGGCATTTTGGGGGGTGGGGGCTCCATTTTGAGGGAAGCACTTGACATGTCGAGGGCCGAGGGAGGGAGGCTCTTGACATGTGTAGTGACATGTCGCTCTGATTCTGCTGGGTGCATGCACCAGGCTCTGACCCCCCACGCTTTGCAGCAGGTTTAAGACGTCTAAGCAGATGTTTCACCTTGTAGAAGAACGTTCTTGGGTCGATGGACACGAGATCCGGATCACCATCTTAGAATATCTTAGATGAAGATGCCAGATCCATCCAGATTATTTGGGCCAAAGGGCCTGCTTTGAAGGGTTAAATGATGTTAAATGGGTCCATTAAAGTTGGATTGGTTATTTTTATGGATTTTGGAGTGGACCACAGTGCGGACAAGGCGAAGATCTGGGGTTTCATGTCACAAAGGGGTTTTCCTTGTTTGAGCAACTCGGGGGTTCCACCACCAAGCTTCCCTCAAGCAACTTCATAATTTCCTGTGCTCACGGGGGACCATACCCCTGCTGTGACAAGGCACGCAGACAATAGGCACGCTGGACCATGTGTTTTTCTGTACATTTCTTGGTTGGACTGGGCCCGCAAGACGGGCCTGAAAGAGTGCAGTGCTTTCGTTGTTCCTCGTGCCCACCTGCACAGATCTAAGGTTTACACAGCTTTGTCAGCAGCTTGGTTTCAAGAACCGGGTTTGGGTCAACCTCTACTTTCACTCCAGGAAGTCGCACATGTGCCCGATTTGGGGTTCCATCCATTCCGAAGTGTTGTCCAGCAGTTCGAACTCGGGGGTGCCAGGCACATGCCTAAGCCAACTTGGCCATGGTGTGGACCTGCTGAACTTCAGGGTGTTTGGAGGACTTTTGGCCACAGCTTCTGACCAAGACCGTTGCCAGGTGCCCAATGCTTCAGTCAAGGCTGAATCTTCTCCATGCGACGGGAGCATATCAGATGGCACGCCCTGGAAGAGACCTAGTTGGAACCTGAAAACCCCTTTGGTCTCTTGGAAGAGATGCCGGAACCTGGAGTCGGAAGAGATGCAGTGTAAACCCCTGGGTTGGTATTCCGACACTTCGTCCTTCAGTCTGGTCCATGCCCAGCCTCTTCCGCGTCGCCCTATGTCGCCCTCGCACCGGGCACGACGACGCGGCTGAGGCTTCTCATCGGATCCGGAGCTTTTTGTGCTCTATCAGGTGGGGGCGTAGTGAAGGGATATCTAAATGACATCCATCGTCATGGATACATGTGGATGGTGTAGATGGATGTAGGATGGTACGACCCCCCCGCGGGACATGTCTCTTTTTGGGGCCGTCCGTCCTTCGCACCTGGAGAGCGTGGAGGCGGTGACCCGGCCGGTTCCATTCGACACGTCGGGACCTGGACTACCCGGACCACCCACGACCTGTGGAGCCTCCCAGTCGTCCACCCTAAGAGCCTGGGAAAGTCCAGGATTCGGCACTTTCGTCCTTTCAGAACTCGTGACCCTCGTGACCTGCTCCGATCGCACTGTGAGCTCGCGAGGGCAAGTTGCACCTTGCTGCCATCATGTCGATCGGCCTGGAGGATTTGGACTGGAGGCTTACCGCAGCTTGGTGACATGCTCACCACTCCCATGACCAACTCTAGGACTACCAGGAAAATCAATCCTGCAAGTAGCGAATATCAGGGAAGCGGTGGAGGGCTGGCAGATCACAGTGGTTGCTGGACCCTGCCCTTCGCAATGGTCCTCCTGAGCAGGGTAATACGTTTCCAACAAGTGTGCGTCAGTGTGGGTGGAAGAACACAATAGCAGGTGAACAGGGTCAAGAGTCAAGACTACAAAAGTATACAAAAGTTAAATTCAATTCCTTTCTGTTGCTGAGGAATGTTTAATCCATTTGTGCATACCTTTTGCTGGCGCAAGTTTCTCAACAACGCACACACGTATATTGGGTCTGTCCTATTTCCTGCAACAGTCGGTAAACGATTATGATTCATGATCACTATTTTAGAAAAAGGCCTTTACCAACCATCATTATCGCACTGTTACTGGCAGTAATGGGATATGCCCAACATGTATATATTTGTACATGTAATATACATACACATCTACACACACACACACACCTACCCAAAGAATCCCAAACCTAAATGTTTACAGTACCTCCTGCTCTGGTCGCTTTTGTGGCCGTGGCCGTGTAGCAACACCGGCAGTACCGGCAGTACCGCTTGGCACGAAATGAGGCATTGCATTGTTTGGTGGATGGTTTGCTTCATTCGACTTCTTCCCATACTTACCTTCAAGAGGTGCAGATGGGCGGTCGTTAAGGTCCGGGACGTCGTCCTGCCCGGGCGTCCAGACTTGTCTGGTGCTGGAGGG